TTATATAAGTTGTAAAAAATTGCAGTGCCATAGGAAAAACGTTTTTTATATTCTTTAAATAGATATCGCTCGGCAGAGCAATAGAAGACGAAGGAATGAGGGAAATCGTTTACGAATATTAGCACTTATCAAGAATATCAAGAGAGTCAGCGCAATCGGCGTGGATATTTCATACTTGTACTGATAGTGGAGTGCGATTTGGTAACGTTCTGTTTTTTGCTGATATCATGATACTGGATCTAAAGAGCATAAGTAACGATTATCACAGACTAATTTGTTTCATCTCTCAACCGCAAGCACAGACCATGCAACTGTGTGGATAGGAGCAAAAATCATCAGCACATCCACCTATCCGCCACATATTGAATGAGCATATAACAAAATCCACAAGACCGATTAAGATATGGACAACGGAGAAAGGAGAGAAGTTGTGAAAGAAGAAGATGGGGTGTCAAATTAGGTAGGACATGCAGCGAGATGTTTTAAGAGAAGTCAAAGGTTTAAAACCTGATTACTCATGGCTTTAAATATTCACAACTCGATAAACAGCTCGAGGTCCCATATTCTTAATGGTAAAACGTAGAGCTAGAGCACTACAGGGTGCCAATACCGTAGCTACCTGCAGTTTGCCAATCCCAGGAGAGCTTTCATAGGAACTAGGTCTTTGGTTAATGGGATGGGGTTGCTGATAAACCATGAAAATGAACTGATTTTAGTTTTAATGATGTCTGTTACGAATACAAGTGTTTCCAGCTAGCCTACTGGAAAATCTCTAGAAATTCCACAACCCTCTCCCATCTAAGCCAACAAAAGAAAGTGGTTATCACTGTCCATCATTTCGCAGTTGGGTGCTGCCAAATCAATGGAAATGATCGGCGCTTCCGCGCAGACACATTCGTTGTGGTTTCAGTTTTTGGGACCGATGTGGTTTTGGTGCTCCACTGCAGCCTACGCCAAAAAACTGTGGTAGTGGTGTTTTCTTGCTGGGCTGTGGGATTAACTGTTATCGAGAGATTGCCACCAAACGTTTTGTCG